TGGAACTTTCCTTTACTTTGTGCTGAGCATGAAATATTTGTAAACATGTCATTGTTTTCAAGTGTGTCTGAAGCATCATGGGGGCAAGCTGCTGACCCTGACTCACTCAGAACCAAGGAAAGGGGCAGTGGCTTGCTCTTGCAGTCATGCTGAGCTTTAGCCTCTGGAGCTCAAGTATGATATTACAAACAAGATCCTCTATGGAGGAGCAGAATCAAGAATAAAACTTGGTGCATTGCCAAAGCCAGTCAAAATATGTAGGCTCCTGATACACAGACACAGTGCAGGGTTTGTTTGTTTTGTGAAGAGTGACCAGTGTATATAAAGCATATGTGAATATACAACCATAGTTAAGATTTCTGGAAGTGGGTGTCCTCTATATCATCATTTCAGGCAACTCTTCACTTAGAATCATTTTTAAACTGAAATAAAATAAATTGCCATGGGACTAAGGTGATGATTGTAAACTATTACAGCATCTAAAGCCAAAAATATGTTTTGTGTGCATGTGTAAATCCCTTATTGAAGTTTATTTTGTTTTACAACACAGACACTTGCACATTGTTTAGTATAATTACATTCACAAAGGAAAGAACTACAAAATACTTCAGAAGTCAACTATTAGTTAATAAGAAGATAAGAACATAAGAGAAGCCAATGTTGGATCAGGCCAATGGCCCATCCAGTCCAACACTGTCACACGGTGGCCAAAAATACCATGTGCCATCAGGAGGTCCATCATTGTGGCCAGGACACTAGAAGGCCTCCCACTGTTGCCCCCCCTCCCCCAAGCACCAAGATACAGAGCATAACTTGCCCCAGACTGAGACTTCCTATCTATACATTGTGGCTAATACCCACTGATGGACCTCTGCTCCAAATGTTTATCCAATTCCCTCTTGAAACCATTCATGCTTGTAGCCCCCACCACCTCTTGTGGCAGTGAATTCTTATTATTGCTAATATAATAAGACTTGAGACATAATACAGAGATATGAAAAGGAAATCTACTCTATATAGTACATCCCTTGAATGCACCTATAAAAACTGAAATTGTTTTCCTAAATTCTGCTGGCTAATGTTTTTTAAACATTTTTTTTCCTTTTCCCATCTTTTGTGGTGATGGTCTAGGAGCCTATGGAGTTGTACTTAAGTGCAGACACAAGGTGAGCAAAATGTTTAAAAGCGGTATAGAAGTTTGAATGGAGGACCAAGTTGCTTTTTTTAAAAAAAAACATTGCTATGAAAAACATGAGAAGCCATTTGCAGGCTTTGAGATGACCCCCTTATGGGAAGCTTAATTTTAGAAGGTTGTTCCCTCTAGCAATGTCCAAAAACCAATTCAACAAGCATCAGCTTTTGAACCTTAAACTTCCTTCTCTCTCCCCTTTCCATTTCCTTCCCAAGAAAGGGAGTCCCCAGTACAAGGAGGAAAGCCATTGTCAGTACCAAAAGGGTTCTCTAGATGCTCATATGTACACTCGTTGACTTTCATTTATTACAGCTCCTTATTAAAAAGGATGTATGTGTGAAATTCATTAGTATCTATTTTGTTGTTGTTGTTAGCCAATCAGTCGCGTTCGACTCTTGGCGATTCTGTGAGCCTATTTTACTGTCTATTTTATCTATTTTAGTGTCTCAGTAATATTGAAAGAGAACATATATATTTTGTTGCTGTCCCTGATGCTTGTAATATGAATTGCATGGACAAAATTTCAGGTCTTTATACTGTCTAGCATTCAGATGAATCAAAAGAATGCTGCTGAGTTGTCTGCTATGTCTTGAAAAATGGCATCTTGCATATAAACCTGTCATACTTGGAAGACACTATTATGTGTTATGCCTGTTCCCTGCCAAAACAAATGCTCTGTGCTGTGTTTGCCCCATTTAAAAATCCAGTTCAAAGGCAAATTAATTGCATCCTGTGACATTATCTAGGAAGGCAACATAAGCAGAGACAGTAAAGAATGCTGCTCTTCAGTATATTTATAATAAGCTCCTAAGTAGATATCACTTTGGAAGGCAATCTCATTGATTTCAAATTCCAGTATTAAAACAAATCTTTAATTGTGGTTAGGATTGCTGAAAACATAACCATTTCCACAGGCATGCCCATGTTGTCATTTATAATACCTGGAGGTACAATATGTGAATGAGGCATTAATCTCTTTGCTAAAGTTCTGAAAACTAGTACCAAGAAATGAAATGCCATAGTTTTATGTGATCCGCACACACATCTTTAACAATTTGATCAATAGAACCATACAACCTGGCATTTTGTTCTCTAGTACAAATCTGGTGTATCTTCTGCTTCAAAATTGAATATTGCAGAGTACAGGCTCTGGCAAATTAACAGTGCAGTCCTAAACAGATCTACTTAGAAGTCTACTGAAGTCTGCTGAATATGGCTTACTCCCAAAAAACGTTATTAGGATTGCACTGTTAATGTATATTTTCAGTAAAGTAAATCATGAAGGAAGATGAAGAACAAGTTTTTAAATATTCTTTTCACATTTTTAACAAAGTAGCAGAAATTTGGGTAGAGAGTAGTAGGGCCATTAAAAAGAATGTGTAAGTTGCACACTCAAAGAAAACCTGAAATTTGTAGAAAGATTTGAACAAATGAATTATTTTGGTCTCTCATCAGTTTGTCGGGGCACCTATTTGAGAACTACTTATAATGTTGTAATAGGACAGAACAACTAGCATAGAAATGATAAAAGATGAGGATTTACAATTAGCAAGCTACATAATAGGTCATTGTAGTCACCCAAGTATTTAAAAGGAACTCAAGTGTGAATTTGAAGAACAAATGGCAAAATCACCCTTTTTACTAGATGGTGCAGCCAGTATAACAAGAGTGTGGTCCAAGGATCAAAAGGTCTCTCATTCTACCTTTTGTTGTAGCTGAAAGGGGGAAAGGTAATATGGGAAAGGTAAATGTAATAAAATTCATTACTGTATTTGAAGTAACAGATTTAAAACAAAACAAAATTTAGAGCTCCATTGTATATACCTGTGATGCATTCTTATTTGGATTATTTAATGTACAGTTCTGTTTGCAACATTCTAAAATATAGCAGTTAGTCAAGACACAGGAAAAGGCAATTTGAGGTGATCAGGGTGTTTTTTGTTTCTTTGTTTTAAAGAGACACAAATATCTATTCTATGTATAGATTCTCAAAATTGTAGATAGGGATTGACAGGCCATTATAGTCATGGGGGGATTTCCCAGTAGGCCAAATGCCTGCCTCCTGCTACTTGGGCCTTTCCAGCCCATGGGGGGAAGGGCAGTTCCCAGCCTGTGGAAGGCAGTGTGCAGCTGACATGAGCCTTGCCTGGTCCAGGTGAGTAGGGCACTGCATTTTTTTTTAAAAATAATTTTTTTATTGAGTAGGCCACAGCATGAAGATGATTATGCCCAGCCCAGCAGAGCTACAGGAGGTGCCCAGCTGAGCAAGGTGTGGTGCTGCCTGGCTTCTTCTCCCTCCTTTGCGGGGGCCATGGGCGGGACCCTTTTCCCCGGCCGTTTTTCCTTTCAGTCATCCCCGTCTCAGAAATCAACATTAGCTTACTAAATTCCTGGGAACTGCTTATAAAGTGTGTTATATTTGTTTCTAAAGTTGCAATAAAAGCAAGCAGCAGAGAACAAACTTGTTTGTCTTGTTTGTAGGAAATTATGCACAGCTCATATGAGGGTGGAATAAGTTGGGTTTCTTTAATTGTGGTTAGGATTGCTGAAAACATAACCATTATCTTAATGTGCTAAAGTGCTAAAGTAAGAGGCTTTTTCAATAGTTTTGGGCTGCTCCATCAGTTTCTCCAGCAACACTATGTAGGCATTGTTTCAAAAAGTGTTCTTAGAACTTAGAACCATTTCCTCAAATTAATTTTAATATATAAGGTTTTGAAGGGTCCTTGGTACTGTCTTGTATTGCAAGTAAAGAAATACCTGACTGCACCATTTATTGCCAAGTTAGCCATAATCAGCCAATTCTTTTTGACAGATTCTATACATATTTCTTTTCTATGAACCAGTTAATACATGTTGCTAATAATGTAGGTGTGTGTTAAATTTAGGCATGCCATCAGCAACGTAGCAGCTGCTGCTGGTTGCTTTTAATTATGAGTCTCTAGAGTATTATCACTATTTTGTACATTTAGTGAAAAATACAAACAAAAATGATACAAAAGTGCCCCAGGTAACTGCAGAAATCTGTTTGATGACTATAAAAATAAAATTACTATAACTTTTGTAATGGCAAACAGAAGGGGGGAAACTATGTATTTGAATAGCTTAGATCTTAGAGTGCTTTTAGTAGTCTTCTTTACACAATGCACAGGGAATCCTTATCATTCCCCATATTATACTGCTTGTAAGGTCTGTTCTCTGTCTACCAAAGCATTAGATAACCTATGGCTTGTCAACATAAATGTGGCAATAAAAAAAAGGTTGCCTTTTTGATCTCTTACAGCCTCTCTGGCTGTATGAATCACTTTGTGTGTTTTTTAAACTATCATTAAAATTCAGTAGTCTGCTTGCCAACCCACCAGCTTTCATGGCATGCGTCTTAACCAAGTGCCTAGCTATCTTATTGAAACCAATTAACATTTATGGCAATTATGGAATAGTTCCATGTTAATGTAAACAATAATTCACAGGCAGAGCCATCTGGGAATTGCTTTGTGGCTTGGTTCTCTTAAAGGAACTTTCTATATAATTTTGATATTTCAGTTTCCGCAGGCAGTAGTTAGATAATAGCATTGATTTTTTTTTAATCCCAAGGTTTTGATGTATATACTCAGATTCTTTGAGAAACCACCTTGATTTTCAGTGTAGTCATTGAACAGCTACAATAAATAAAAATAATAATTTAATAGAGTTGATTAGTCTACAGATTTTAAACCAGGCATATTTTCTACTTGCATGATTGCAAAGAGGACCTACCATTCAGAACCTGATACTTAACATAGTAGATACTAGCAAAGTGGCTGCTTTCAAGTGGTGATATAAATGGATTATCCTTTTGATGTTATGATAGAGGTACAATGCAGAGGAAGTATAATCTCCAAAATTGGTCATGCAAAACTGTGCCCATAATGGGGGGGAGGAAAAAGGAAAGAGAGACTGTTGGAGAGAAGGCAGAAGCCATCTTGGGAGGTGGGGATACATGCAAATTCATGCAGAACATTTTCTGTGTTTAAAACTAATATCTCACTGAAATTAGGAAAAGAGACCTTTCCCCTTCAACAATAAAAGTTGGAATATAGTTATAGCGGAAAGCTATTTTTTTAACAATTGAAATAGATATCTAGATTTTAATTGCTTTTTTAGTATTTGCAACTGAACAATTGCATCTGTTATAACGTAACTACTACAGCATTTCGTAGATACACTTTTTCTTATTTGTATGAATGAATGCCAATTATCCTAATTTCTGAATATTAATATTTATTACTGAATGAAGTAAAGATGGGTTTTAGTGCTAGGTGCCATTCAGAGACTTTGTGATTATATCACCTGTATATTTATCCTGCATTGTATTTTGAGTATGATTTTGAAATTCTTTCATACTACTTTTGTTTTTATTTTATCTTGAATTATTTCTGTAAAATGAAATTATTTGTATTGTAAGGGGTAGCCTTGACCTTTTAAAGAAATATCTGTCTTTATTTTGTAGGAGACACATGAGATTGTGGCTATTAAAAAATTCAAAGACAGTGAAGGTAATTTCTCAACTTTCTTGTATGAGAACTAACAATGTAATCCATAGTTATTCCAATTTAAGACCATTGAAATCAATGAGTTGGATACCATCGAAAGTCGTTGAACAGAAGAGAGAGTGATTTCAACCATTTCCCCAATCCTGTGGATAAATATTTTTTAATCTTTAATCCCCTGTGCCCCAAGACAACGTAAATTCCCGAACATTTGAGAAACAGTTTCCCCTTTATCTAGCCAAGAATAATGGTTCTAATTTGAACAACACAAGCTTATGATTTTGAAAGTAAATACACAATTATTTTGTATTGCAATACTTTCTGTGACTTCAGTTCCATTGTTACTATTACTGAAGGAATATGGCTGTACAAGTGACATATGTAAACCTGTGGGTGAACTCAAAGATTATACACCTATTGAATCCTTTTGTGACTTCTTATATGATGACTTTACTGCCATAACTCTACATCACTTTAGTGAATCTTGATTCTTTTAATATCCTTTTTAGGGGACTGCCAAAAAAAATCAGTATTTTTTTGTTTCAGGTATATTGAATCCGAAAAATATTGGCATTTTCTTATATTCCCAAATCCCAGTATCGATATGGCATTGGGATTCAGGATTCAGGAATTTTTTGGAAAATCCAACATTTTCCTTGGCAGGCGGGCTGGGGAAGCAAAAACCTCATGCTGTTGAGGTTTGCCATCGCTTTCCTCCCAAGGAGCAGGCGTCTTTTAATTTCATGGCTGCTGTCACAGTCTGCGATGATCTGAGATCCCAGGAACGTGAACTCTGTCACTACTTCCACGACTTCCCCTTCTATTTGCCAAAGAGTGATGGGGCCGGATGCCATGATCTTAGTTTTTTTGATGTTGAGCTTCAAGCCCACTCTTGCGCTCTCCTTTTTTATACTGAGCAAGAGGCTCTTTAGGTCCTCTTCACTTTCTGCCATTAGAGCGGCATCGTCTGCATATCTGAGGTTGTTGATCTTTTCCCCAGCAATCTTAATTCCCGCTTGTGATTCATCCAGGCCAGCACTTCTCATGATGTACTCTGCATATATATTAAATAAGCAAGGTGACAATATACATCCTTGTTGTACTCCTTTTCCTATGCTAAACCAATCAGTTGTTCCATATCCGGTTCTAACTGTTGCTTCTTGACCCTTATACAGGTTTCTCAAGAGACATGTGAGGTGGTCTGGTACTCCCATCTCTTTAAGGACCTGCCATAGTTTGTTGTGATCCACACAGTCAAAGGCTTTAGCATAGTCAATGAAGCAGAAGTAGATATTTTTCTGGTACTCTCTTGCTTTCTCCATAATCCAGCGAATGTTGGAAATTTGATCTCTAGTTCCTCTACCTCTTCGAAACCCAGCTTGTACTTCTGGCAGTTCTCTATCCACGAACTGTTGAAGCCTAGCTTGTAGGATCTTGAGCATAACCTTGCTAGCGTGTGATATGAGTGCAATTGTGCGATAGTTTGAACATTCCTTGGCATTGCCCTTCTTTGGGATTGGAATGTATACTGACCTTTTCCAATCCTGTGGCCACTGTTGCGTTTTCCAAATTTGCTGGCAAATGGAGTGCAGAACTTTAACAGCATCATCTTCTAAGACTTTGAATAGCTCAGCTGGAATACCATCACCTCCACTAGCTTTGTTGTTAGCAATGCTTTCTAAGGCCCATTTAACTTCACATTCCAGGATGTCTGGCTCAAGGTCAGTGATTATACCGTCGTGTTTGTCAAGGACATTGAGGTCTTTCTTGTATAGTTCTTCTGTGTATTCTTGCCATCTTTTCCTAATCTCTTCTGCTTCTGTTAGGTCCCTACCGTTTTTGTCCTTTATCATGGCCAGCTTTGCATGGAACGCTCCCTTGATTTCTCCAATTTTCTTGAAGAGATCTCTAGTCCTTCCCATTCTATTGTTTTCCTCTATTACTTTGCACTGTTCATTCAGGAAGGCCTCCTTATCTCTCCTTGCTGTTCTCTGGAAATCTGCATTCAGTTGGGTAAATCTTTCCTTTTCGCCTTTGCCTTTCGCTTTCCTTCTTTCCTCTGCTATTTGTAAAGCCTCATCAGAAAGCCACTTTGCTTTCTTACATTTCTTTTTCTTTGGGATGGTGGTGATTGCTGCCTCCTGTACGATGTCACGAACCTCTGTCCATAGTTCTTCAGGCACTCTATCTATCAAATCCAGACCCTTGAATCTATTCTTCACCTCTACTGTATATTCATCAGGGATGCGATCTAGGTCAAACCTGAATGGCCTCGTGGTTTTCCCAATTTTCTTCAGTTTAAGTCTGAATTTTGCAATGAGTAGCTCATGATCTGAACCACAGTCAGCTCCAGGTCTTGTTTTTACTGACTGGATAGAGCTTCTCCATCTTTGACTGCAAATTATATAGTCAATCTGATTTCGGTGTTGCCCATCTGGTGATGTCCATGTGTAGAGTCGCCTCTTAGGTTGTTGGAAAAGGGTGTTCGCTATGACCAGTGTGTTCTCTTGACAAAACTCTGTTAACCTTTGCCCTGCTTCATTTTGCTTTCCAAGGCCAAACTTGTCTGTTATTCCAGTTACCTTTTGACTTCCTACTTTAGCATTCCAGTCCCCTATGATGATGAGGACATCATTTTTTGGTGTTAGTTCTAGGAGGTGTTGTAGGTCTTCATAGAACCGGTCCACTTCAGCCTCTTCTGCATCAGTGGTTGGGGCATACACTTGAATTACTGTGATGTTGAATGGTTTGCCTTGGAATCGGACAGAAATCATTCTGTCATTTTTGAGATTGTATCCCAGTACTGCCTTTTGCACTCTCTTGTTGACTATAAAGGCCACACCATTTTTTCTACGAGATTCCTGGCCACAGTAGTAGATATAATGGTCTTCTGAGTTAAATTCGCCCATTCCTGTCCACTTTAGTTCACTGATTCCTAAGATATCGATGTCCAGTCTTGCCATCACATTTTTGACCACATCACGCACGGCACAGCCCACAGCCTCATCGAACCATGCAAGCCCCCTCGCCACGACAAGGCAGTGATCCATGAGGGGGAGACATTGCACTGAACATGTGCAAAGACAATCTTGCTCCTTCTGTCTTGCTTCTCAAATGGGGGATCATCTTCTAAAATAAACTTCAGTTGCCCAGAATGTAAGAATGCTGGTTGATGACCCCCCCCCCCCCCCCCACAAATATACGGCACCCAATGTGTTTAAATTGTTTTAATGCCTTAGGTCCTGGAATGCTCAGGAGAAAAGCAGGCATATAAATATTTTAAATAAATACATTTAAATAAATAAATTATGTATTTGACTATAACTCTGTTTTAGAGTCATAGTGGGAGGGAACTAACTCTGGTTCACCTGATTACTTGAGTTTGTACACTTTTGGTAAACAGACTTCATTTTTAATCATGATTGTCCGCACAAGAAGAGAGTGGTGAGCTGTGTGCAAGTTGGTTCATGCACATTTTTTATATAACTGCGGTTAAATGGAACATCTGATGCAGTAATTACTGCATGATATGTGCAACTTATTGGTATTTTTAGGGGTATGTATTAGGAACCATGGTGGTGGTTGTTTGTCCTTCAGCTGTCCAGTGTATTGCTTAGACAGCGGCTATAATTACTATAATAGTTTTACAGCCCAGCAGGAAAGGAAAGCCAAATTCCATTAAAACCTTTTGCTATTTTGTATTACAATAATGCGTTAAGTAGTCCTGTAACTCTTTAAGAACAGTTGTCAGGTTAAATTGTTAAACATTTTTACATGAGTAGTGGATTGTATAATAGAACATTTTACTTGGTGTCAAATTTGAGTGAAGTTCGGCCTAATCGATGTTCCATGCTAAAAAAGAATATAAAAATATTTGTTGGGTGTCATGCTCATCCCATTCGTCTTTGCATTTTAGAAAATGAAGAGGTCAAAGAAACCACTTTGCGAGAGCTTAAAATGCTTCGCACTTTGAAACAGGAGAACATAGTGGAGCTAAAAGAAGCTTTCAGAAGAAGAGGAAAACTGTATTTAGTGTTTGAATATGTGGAAAAAGTAAGTCGCGTTTGTGCTTAATATTAATGAAAATGCTCTATGTGTGTTATGAGACCTGTTTTATGTAAATGATACTCCTACGCATTTGGTTATTTTTGTTTACCGTGTTCCTCAATACTGAGCAAAAATTATGAAGATACAGTTTTAAAGAAAAAAAGGAGTCTGGAATATAATTGACACCCGCCCCTTATTTTCATTTCAGTTTTGGCTGGAAAATAAGTAGGTGGTGTCTTTCACTTAGTCAGTTAGCATAACAGGTTACTTGTCCTCATAAAACGTGTAAAAAAATGGTCCTAATTTTTTTTAATGGAGAAACTTGATTCTTGAAATTGTCCTTCCTGCATCGTCTTTCCGCTCGCTCCTTTCCTCCTCCTCATTGCATCCCATCAGCCTGTGCAGCTGTTATTCCAAATGGGTCATACCACCCCAGGAATCAACTTTCCTGGATTTGGAAATTACTGCTAGGGGTAGAGGAAAGCGAGGAAGAACGGCAATCCTTGCACAGGTAAGTTACTGGATCCAATCCAATATACATGGTTGTATGAAACTGTTCTGGCAATAATGTGAAAATTCCAAATAATAAAAGATTGCTTGGTGCACGCTAATCATCCCATCCTTTCCCCATGTACAAAATGAGTTATAAGGGTCATTACCAAGTACATATTAGCTGATATGTTTTAACTGTTTTCTGGAGGGCATATTGCTTGTACGCAGACAGGATCATCCATGATGGTCAGGTTCTTCTCTAGCTTGTTCAATATCTTCTTCTCTTGTCCTGCATGGAGTACAATTGAGCCAGTTTGGTGTAGTGGTTAAGTGCGCGGACTCTAATCTGGAAGAACCGGGTTTGATTCCCCCACTCCTCCACTTGCACCTGCTGATGTGACCTTGGGTCAGTCACAAGCTCTGGCACAGCTGTCCTTGAAAAAGGGCAGTTTCTGTCAGAGCTCTCTCAGCCCCACCCACCTCACAGGGTGTCTGTTGTGGGGAGGGGAAGGGAAAGGAGTTTGTAAGCCGCTCTGAGACTCCTTTGGGTAGTGAAGGGCGGGGTATAAATCCAATCTCTTCTTCTTCTTCTCTTCCAAATTCAGAGCCTGGGAAAGCTGGAATCTATTTCCCTCACCCCTCCAGCAAACTAGGATTCTACATCATGGTTTAATTCCAATTTAGAACTGCAGTTTCTGGAAGGGAAACTAATTCCAGTTTTGGCAGGCAGCTACATTCAGCTATCATGGTGAATTAAGTACTTGATTTAAACGTTTTGAAACCAGGAAGCTTTCAGCTGGGCTCCATGGTTGCGGGGAAGGACATGCTATATTTGTTTCCACCATGACATCTGAATATAGCCATTGTTAATGGGTGAAGATTCTAAGTTACTTCCCATCCTGTCCTCACCTTTTCTTAAATCCCTGTGCTGTGCTTTTTTACAAAATTCTCCCCTTGCAAACTCAGCTATTCTTTACTAGTGAATCATGGAAAAAACACCAGGAAAGACTAATCCTGCATATCTGCATGAACAAGCTTGACTAGTGCAACAAGACATCTTCAGAATTAAAAATAATTACTTGTTTTATATTGTTAGTGTAGTTGACTCTTCCTTGCAGTTGAACATAGTGATGGCGTCTATCCAAAAATGTGAAGTATTTTGGTAAATGTCCTAATACAGGTGTGTTCTCAAACTACTACAGTTATCACTCTTGTACCAACATTAAACTTTTTTGTGGTTCAGAAGTTTGTTTTATGGTAACCTGTTTTAATGTATGTCTTTTTGCGTACGCTAACACAGACTTCATACATGTAGAAACAAATATATGTGAAAGATGAAAAGTATAAATACATCTGTCTGTATAGAGTCTAGCATCTATCAAAACCAGTATAAATTGCAGGTCTGCATTGACATCCCCGTACTTGATTCCCCAGTAATTGGTAATGACACAGTCTGTGGGCCTTAAAAACGGAAGCAAGACTAGAGCACCTGTAGGTCACAGTCTGTATTTTATGATAGGAGGCTAGAAGTTAAATAAATGTCTAAATACTCTAGAGCAGGAAATATTAACACCCATTTATCCACTAAACACAATCTTTGAACATTTTTGATGGTTTTGGACTATCCTTTAAAAACAGGGCCTGTCCTAAATCAAGTTGGATCACACTATCTGAGTGAGCCAACTGGGAAAAAGACATAATGAATCCGATTAAAGCCAATGCCTTCTAGAATCTATAGCTGCTTGGAACATCAAAATGCAAATTCAGCAGTGCTGTGAGCCATGGGAGAAGTCCAGAAGTTAACTTGCCAGGTGCCCAGTTTAATTCGTGGTGTTTTGCTTGTTGTATCCATTGTCGTGGTAAGAAATTAGATGCATGTAGACTTTTCTCTGAAATAAGGTTAGGTAACTTTATTTTCATGTTAGATTGGCACTTCCACGTGATGAACTACATCAGGGGTGTCGAACTAATTTGATATGAGGGCTAGATCTGACATAAATGAGACCTTGTTGGGCCAAACCATGTGTGTCATAAAATGTAATACCAGGTAGTAGAGATATAAACTTTATAAAGAACACAAACACAAAGGGTTTTTTTTAACTTAAAATAAAAACATGCTTAAAATATTTAGCACTCTTGCAATATTTTGTTTATTTAACAGTGTCTGATAACTGACACCTCTTGCTCTGAATTATTGCATCAAAATGTCTGTGCTGTTGCAATCTTGAGTATTTTGTTCAGATGTTTATCTGTAAGCTGCAAACCTACGATGACACAGCAGCAGAACTGGAAGCAGAAGAAGCAGAAGACAGCCAGTTCCACTGAGGGCCTGATAGAAGCCCTCTGGGGGCCTGATCCAGCCCCCGGGCTGCATGTTTGACACCCCTGAACTACATCATTATTTGCACAATTGTGTCACTGAATTGTTTCAGTAAGATTCCATGTCAAGTTGCTTTTAGCTTCTAATACTATCACTTTTTTAAAAATCCTAGAACATGCTTGAATTGCTAGAAGAAATGCCAAATGGAGTTCCACCTGAAAAAGTAAAAAGTTACATCTACCAATTAATTAAAGCAATTCATTGGTGTCATAAAAATGACATAGTTCATCGAGGTGAGTAAAATAGAAATGAGAAACTTTCAGTATCAAATTTTGAATCATCTTAAAGACACCAGGAAACAGATTGATTGCATTTGTAGTATACAAGATAAAAGTTTAAAAACATAGAGGAGGACAAAACAGGGGGAGTGACTAGACACTCATTTGTAGTATACTTAAAACTGGCTAACTTGACAGAGAATATGGAACAAAGAGTAGAAATTTATACATACTTTAGATTTAGTCTTTCTGTAAAATATATTTAGAGAGGGGCGCAGAAGGTCCCAGGTTCAATCCCCAGCATCTCCACTTAAAAGCATCAGTTAGTACAAGATATGAAGGACCTCAAACTGAGACCATGGAGAGCTTCTGCCAGTGTTGACTATACAGTATTGACCTTGAGGGACCAGTAGTCTAAGGCATCTTCCTATGTGTTCATATTTGCACGCCTGGAATGCCATTAATGTTGTTATTTAAAACATTTTTATTCACCTTTAGGAATTAGGTGAGATGTTCCTGCTGACCTGGATACATGTAGATGATTGTTAATACTATAAAGAAAACAAAAGTCATTTTAACCAATGTTTTCCCTTGTCATGTATCCTTAGTATGGAGAAGCTTATGTACTTATGGTGTGTTTACTTGTTTCCAGTATATAATTCTGTGGGAATATTTTATCATCTTGCTTCAATTAAAACAGCTAGCGTTTAAACAACATCTAATTGAAATTTCATTAACAAAGGGAGAGAGCTTGTGCACTGGGAAAATTTGCATTATATTGCATTCAAAGATTAACACTTTACATTTTTTTCAGGATAAAGAACATAATTCATTCACAGAATAGTGTGAACCCACCTTTCCATTTCCATTAAAATAAACTTCCTTGGGATTACTTTAGTGTATGATTACGTGCAGATTTAGAAGAAAGAAAACTAGGGACATAGCTAACCAAAGTATAGTTCTTTGGAGTCAAAGTGATATCAGTGGAGCAATAGAAAATCTTCCACTGAAAGAAATAATATTTCACAAGTGCATGACTGTGGTGGATCTTACTCTAGATTTTCAAACCCCATGATGACATTATTTCAGAGAGTAAAATTTGTTAGGATATACTTCACAATATTTCAAATAAATTGTACCACAAATCTCTGCAGTTCTGTTCAAAAAGCATAATATAGTGATGTTAACCTTGTCATATTCATTTAATATTTTAGATATCAAACCAGAAAATCTCTTAATAAGTCATAATGATGTTTTGAAATTGTGTGACTTTGGTAAGCTATTTTTTTCTCTTTTAGTGCATGCTTATTTTACAGCACTGTTTTAAGTGCATCTGTTAGAATTCTTAATTTACAGTTCAAATTATAAGTTTAACTTGGTATAGTGGTACTTTATAATTGCTAATTTTAACCTTTGTTTCGTATCTTTTAAAAGTGTATCAGCATGATACCTGTTATGCTAATTATAGTCCAGTTTCTGAAAAGACTTGTAGTCAGTTATTTTATGTAAAAATAGATGTGTGTATGCACATGTATGACATAAATGGCAAATTACTAATTTTGTTGTAGCAGTACAATATGATCCCTTAAGCTATTCAGAAATACCTGAGGCTGTAATCTAGAACAGGGATGGGCACAAAATGAATCATGAGCCAAAAGTGATCATGAATTTGGGGCGGATAATGGTTTGTGAGACGCGGATCATGCAGTTGTCTCTCACATGATCTGTCCATGACTTGCTGCATTTTTCATGGAGGATCATGCATTTCGTGGGTGCGGCTCATTGGCCAGACACGCTGGCGCTGATCAATCATCAAGGCAATGGAAGGGATGGACTTCTGCAGCCCTGGAAACACCAGTAGTGGCCCTCCAAAGCTTGATAGGTAGGTCTGGCTGCCAATCAGAGAGCTCCCATTCTGCTCTGTGTGACATACCCCCAGCTAACACACAACTGTGTTTACTTGGCAGCAGTCTGGAGATGAGCTGCAATCCAAACCCAATCTGCACACAACTTGGATGGCAGGTAGAAGGGCATCCCATGGAGGTCTGCTGTGAGTTTGATGCCTCTAGCTTGGAGGGGAGCCGTTTGACACACTTCCCCCCTGCACATTGGAACCTTGGTTCTCTTCCCCCCAAAACCATCTGCACACCATTTGGAGGGCAGGTAGAGGAGCATCCAGGGAGGTCTGCTGCGAGTTTGATGCCTCTAGCTTGGAGGGGAACCATTTGGCACACACACACCCCTTCTGCACATTGGACCCTAGGATCTCCCCCCAAGCAAATCTCACAGAACTTGGAGGGCAGGTAGAGGGGCATCCCAGGGAGGTCTGCTGCAGGTTGGATGCCTCCAGCTTGCAAGGGGCCATTCAACACTTCCTCCCTTTTATACACCTTGGATCCTAGGATCTCCTCCCAATGTCAATCTGCTCAGAACTTGGAGGGCAGGTAGAGAGACATTGTGGGGAAGTCCACTGTGAGTTGGATGCCTCTAGCTTGTGGGGGGGGGCATTTGACAGACTTCCCCCCTTTTGCACATTGGGCCCTAGGATCTCCCTCTCCCAAAGACAATCTACATAGAATTTGGAGAGCAGGTAGATGGGCAGCCTAGGAAGGTCTGCTTTGAGTTTGATGCCTATAGGCTTGCAGGGTGGCCATTCAACACCCCCCTTTTGCACATTGAACCCTAGGATCTTTCCCCTGAAGCTAATCTACATAGAATTTGGAGAGCAGGTAGAAAGGCAGCCCGGGGAGATCCACTGCAAGTTTGATGCCTTTAGCTCGCAGGGGATCTGTTCGACACACACACCCCTTTTGCACATTGGACCCTAGGAACTCCCTCCCTCAAAGCCAATCTGCACATAACTTGGAGGGCAGATAGAAAGGCCGCCCGTATAGGTCTGCTGTGAGTTTTATGCCTCTAGCTTTGCAGGTGGGCCATTCGCAAGTGCACTTTCCTAGGGGCACCTACTTTGAGGGCTGTAACTCGCCCCCCCCCTAAATCCAATCCTCACCAAAGTTGGAGGGCAGGTAGAGACAGTCAGATGGAGATTCGTTGTGAGTTTGGTGTGTCTGGCCCACAAGAGGACTGCTCTACCGCACCAAGAACCTTGAACTGGCTCATAAAACAGAAAGGCTCATGGAAATTCATAGTTCGGTGCTCATGAGACCTCACAAGCCACAAATCTCAATTTTTCCGGGTCGTGCCCATCCCTAGTCTAGAACACTAGTCTTCAACCCATGGACTGAGTGATTGACAAACCCCTATGAGAGCCAGATTTTTTTGCTGCCTTCTGAATGACTTGGCAGCACCCTCCTGCTTCTCTTTGCACATATGTTGAGAGGAGCAGTAGAATGGTATAGTGGTTAAGAGCTGAGGACTCTAATCTGGAGAACTAGGTTTGTTTCCCCACTCCTCCACATGAAACCTGCTCAGTCACTTTGGGCCAGTTACAGTTTTCTCAGAACTTGCTCGGCCCCACTTACCTCACATGGTGCCTGTTGTGGGGAGAGGAAGGGAAAGGCAATTGTAAGCTGTTTTGAGACTCCATACAGTAGAGAAAAACAGGGTATAAAAAGCTACTTCTTCATTGACAAGGCGAGTAAATTCAGTGGTAGGGATAATTCATTCATGGCTTTTACCCATGGCTTCTTCCTCACTATGGCACATCTCCTGCAGTATTTTCTGTCCACAGCTTTCAGTCTGTTGCATAAAGTCTGGCCTTGACATTGATATCATAATTCTGATTCTCCATATTCCTGTCATGTGACTGTGATGTCACATGTTTGCAGCTCAGTAGGTCTCCGTTTAGAGCTGAACATACAATTACACTTCTTGTAAGCATTTAGAGAAAATGGTCTTTCCCTTCTTCAACCATGACACAGTTATTTTTACAATGAGAAGGCTGGCTGTGAAAGATGGGTCAAGAGATTAGGAAGGCTTCTGTGCCACAGCCAATGTGAAAAGTTCTACTTGAGATATTCTGTCCCCCCTCCCCGGGCAGTTACAGACTCCCACACCACATCCTGTATAATTCCAGAAGATCTTCTAGCCCTTACAAGTGGATGAGGGTCCTAAAGGCAAAAGGAATTCTACTGGACAATTGGAACTAAGTCCAGTTCTGTGTATCCAATACAGTGGTCTAAAAGAGAGCTGTAGGTATTATTATTTAATTATTTAATTATTATTATTTAATCTTGCAACTCTTTCAATATCTCAAAAGTACACTTACATAGATGTATACATATTAATCCTAAAAGGCTAATGATCTGTGAAAAAGAATGTTTAAACTTTTTAACATTTTTAATGAACCTATATACTAATAGTGACGTATGGCCCCCATCTCCGGATACGTAAATTGGCGGATCAGGGCCACACTAATGTGAAACAGATTTTTCCTCTGTGAGTCTCCCCCCCCCAAGCCGTAAGGAGGGGATCATGCATGGGGAATCGGCAACAATTTAGGGAGGGATTTCCCTTCCCCGTGAGGGCTCCCACTTGTTCTCACCTAATCTTTTAAGGGCAACATCTTTTATACTTTTCTCTTCATGTCCTTTCTTTTAATGAAAGAATCCCAGTAATGTAGAAAGTCCCTTCCTACGTATCCCAGACAGTTACAATGACAAATGACCGTGTTATGATTACTTGTAAAGTATTCTTTTTAGTTTATTTCTGGTGTCTTGAGTATTTAGAACACATGTATTTTTTCAATTTCCCTCGACAGAAATTGCATTCATTTGTCGCCCTAGGAATACTAAATTTCCTATAATCTTGTCAGGGTTCCCCAGTAAATAAATCATTCATGGCATACAAGCCATAAAAGGCAGCTTATCCTTTACTTCTGATCTTTTTTAGAATGTGAACTTGGGGGGAAAGGTTGGTTTTTTAAAAAGATAATTTACAGATAATTTAGTTAATTAGCACTGTAGAACTACAGGAGAGGGTTTTGTGTAGAACTACAGGAGAGGGTTGGAGTAACTTCAAACTCAGCTAGTCTAGCCATGTCCTCCTGTGCACTCTAAAACATACCCTGAACCCTCTGTAGTTCCCTGGATGATGTGCTAAAGGTTAAAATGGAGGGGGGAAACCTAGAAAGCCTGTGTTGTAATAATAAAAGCATTTTATGATTGCCAGGAAATCTGGGTGTATGTCCCATTGACTCACTAAAAATGCTTAGGATTATTAGATATTAGGAGTAAGGCCTGTTGTGGGAAGGAAGCTCCAGGTGAGTGGCCGGCTGTGGCTGGTGGAGCGGCAGAGGGAAGGGGAAAATAGAGGGAGGCAAGCCGTGTTTATTTTCTTCTGGTTAGCTATAAGGCACGGCTGTCTCAAATCATTTTGCTGCCCCAAGTGGGAAGTATGGGAGGACAGCCTCATGGTAACAGGTATGGTTCCCTCCACCCCTGACTTATGTTGATTTGGGGTTATGCAGTGGCAGCTAAGGTAGAAAACCACCTCCTCCTATGCCATGTCTTCTGGGTTCCAAGGGTCTGGAAAGCGGTTCTATAGCCAGTTACAGGGTTGCCAACTCTGGGTTGGGAAATACCTGTAGATTTGAGGGGTAGAGCCTGGGGAGGGAAGGGGTGGGGAGGGACCTCAGCAGGGTATAATGCCATAGAGTCCACTGGCCAAATCAGCCATTGTCTCCAGGAGAACTGATCTTGGTCATCTGGAGATCAGTTGTAATAGCTGGAGATCTCCAGGTGCCACCTGGAGGTTGGCTTATGTTAATTTGGGTTTATGCAGTGACAGCTAAGGTAGAAAAGCCCCTTCTCCTATGCCGTGTTTTCTGGGTTCCAAGGGTCTGGAAGGTGGTTCCATAGCCAGTTACACAGCTACCAACTCTCTGTTGGGAAATACCTGTAGATTTGAGGGGTAGAGCCTGGGGAGGACAGGGTTTGGGGTGGGGAGGGACTTCAGCAGGGTATAATGCCATAGAGTCCACTGCCCAAAGCAGCCATTGTCTCTAGGAGAACTGATCTTGGTCATCTGGAGATCAGTTGTAATAGCTGGGAAATTTTCTGTAGGGGAAATGATGTGCTGTGGAGAACATGGTGATTTCTGGGAGATCTCCAGGCCCCACAGGGAAATTGGCAACTCCAGTGACTGTTAAAGGGAAGATTGGGATATGTATTTTACCTCAGGACACATTCAATGACTCCCAACAGCAACAGCAAACTGTTTAGAATGTTAGAGGCAAAGGCCAATCAGGCCACATATGCAAACGACCTCTGTGTTCCGACTGGCTTTGGGGGGGAGAGGAACAGCAAACTGTTTAGAATGTTGGAGGCGGGACTCAGGCAATGCAGCCAGTGGATAGGGACAGCTTCTGAGTGACACATCATGGAGCCAACTGATTTAGTAGTGTGTGGAATGTTCAGAAAGTGCCACCCCACTTCACAATTATATATAAGGAGAGATGTATGGTTTTGTCAGGTTTCAAAAAAGAATCCAGGAGCTTCACAAAAGTGCATAAGAATCTGCGGATGTCTCCGGTATATTTGCCATGCTGTGCTTGGTATAATCCTTAAGATCATGTGCTATAGCTGCCTAGACACATGTTGTGTGGGTGTGGTATCTTACTATTAGGAATACAGAAGAAAGAGTACTGAGCATAGACCAATTGTGACAGATGCACGGCTATTACATTGGGGTATTCCGTTCTCCAGTACATCTGCTGTTTTATAGGACAAAAACTACTTTTAAACAACCTATTAGGGTCTTTATGTAAAGTATGCAAAAGGATTTCTATTCAGGAGAGCACTATAAATATGTCCCCTATAGTAGGAACTGACTGGAGCTAGAGACCATTATGTAGGCGTGGTTTGTAAGGTAAGCTTGTTATTAGGTTAGTCTTCAGAAGAAAAAAATATAAATTTGAATCACAGATGCCATTCTCATTGCCAGACAGATGTTCTTTGGTACATATTGAACATTTTATAGAAGCAATTACAAAGGATGCTGAATGACACAAGCATGTCTTTCCTGTGCCTTCTTGATGTGGTGTGGTGAGATGTGTCTACTGTGCACATCTTTTCCCCCTTCCTTTTGCATGAGCCTGGAAGGGGAGCAGGGCCTGAAGCATGAGTCACAGTTCCCGTCTTCTTGCTTCTGTGGAATATGAGGAGTTTAATACGTATTTTTACATTGCTTCATATTGTATCGCTTCATATGGTGTGGTTTGTATCTGGCTATTGAACAATGTCGCGACTGAATGGGGGGGGGGAAGAGGGTTGTTTATCTGGAGGTTTATGGGCTATGAAGAGACTGGTTTCATGTATAATTTCCATGTTCATATAGGAAATGTGCCAGTCAGATACAGATAATGTATACATTTTTGTAGACCTGAGCTCTGAAAGTTAAAGTAAATGGGATGGATCTTGTGATCCACCAGTTTAAGACACTAGACGGTCTCCTGCCCCACCCCACACAGCCATTTCTGGCCCCTGAAAAGTTTATTTCTGGGCTCATGGGATTTCCATGTAATAATAGCCATTCATGTCCGAAGGCTGTAGTAAGGAGGGGGATGGGGGAGTCTACATGGGTCCCACAGTCCTGGGTATAAACTTTCCTGGAGTTGGGAATGGCTGCTGGAGAAATGCTCTGAAAATTTGTGACCCTTGCTCAGTCTTCACAAGTTTTTTGCTCTGAATCTGACTCATAAAGTGTATAGTAAACAATTTTTCAAATGATGTTGATGCAGGTTTTGCTCGGAATTTGTCAGAAGGAAGTAATGCTAACTACACAGAATATGTGGCTACCAGATGGTATCGTTCACCCGAACTCTTACTTGGGTAAGTAAGCTTTCTAGGGATAACTGCTACTAATTTGAAAGCAATACCTCTGTCTGTGCATTTATTCTAATACATTTTGTAGATTCAAACATAGTGAGCACCAGTTAAAATTTGGCTTCTTGTGACAATTGGCTGGTCTTGATGCTCAGTGCTAAGCTGAACTTGTTTTCTTCCTGAACCTTAATTTAACTATTTCTTTAGGGAACAAAACTGTTATGTAAGATATTTAACTGATTTGAATCAGGAAGAAATTTATTATTGCCATAGATGGTCACCTTCTGAAGCATTGGGGACCTGCTCCCCCCTTCCTCCCCCCTTCCTCCCCCCCCTTCTTCCATCCCCCCCTTCTTCCAGCCTCTGTCTGCTCTGGCCACTTCAGCTGACCTGCAACCTCCATACCCATCTGCAGAGGTCATTTTTCCATTGCTGGAGCTCACCAGTATGCATAGTGATGCTGCCCTTTGTACTGGGGTTACAGATGCAGGCCATCCTGTATGCCTTCTCTTTGCAGAGAGGATGCAACTGGGTGGCCACGCTTGCCTGCAACCTCTTCACCAAGGCCCTGGCCATCAAGGCCCCCTGCTCCTGTGTGGAGGCCAGTGCTCTGTCCAGCCTGCGGATCAGTGGGATGGCTCACCCCAGGATGGCTGTATGGGAACAAAGGATGTCGGTTGTATCCTGGAAAGGCTTCAGGGCATGCACCATTTTGGAGAGGGTCAGCCAGTTGTTCGAACTTATGTTGATTCCCATGCAGGATGGGCGTGGACGAGATGATGTCCTGCACCACACTCTTCTGCTCCACCAGACACTCAATCATCATGTAGGTGGAGTTCCAGAGGGCGGGCATGTCCTGCACTAGCTGGTGTTCGGGCTCCCCCCTCTCTGCCTGGGCGGACCTGATGCAAGTGAAAAGTGGGCAGCCAGGCACCGACAGGTCTCCAGCAGTTTGCACGTCTGCATTGTGGCCTCATCCCAGGTGGGCTTGATGGTGCTCCCCAGCCTGAGAGCATCCCTTACCACTGGATACAGGGTGTGTGCCATGCAGACAATGCCCCAGAGGTGCACACAGTTCACTGCCACCAGCATGTTTGCACTGGCATCCTTGATTACAAATGATGTCACCCCTGGTAGGGCACACCCAATCCCTCAGGCTAGCTTGGGCTGTATCGGCGATGTTCTTTGCCATATGGTCTTTGTCCATCCCCTGGGCATGGATCAGAACCACTTTGTAGCCTGGTGGCGGAAATGTTCCCCCCTTCCCAGGGTCCTGGTCTTTTCCTGGCAGTCCGGAGGTCCTCTGGTTGCCACCAGTGGGCTGTGAGGGAGAGGTAGCTGTGCTGATGGCTGCTCCACAGGTCTGCTGTAAAGTGCACAGTCTGCCCTTTCGCTCTGGATAACTCTGCCTTGACCACCTGCATCGCAGAGCGGTACATGGAGGGCATAACTCGCCAGCTGAAGGTCCTCTGCGAGGTAATGGTACACCAGGGGCAAAATAATGCAGTAGCCAGCAGAAGCCCACCCACTCCATGATGGACAAAGGGTCCCCAACCATGGCAATCATCTCACCAATAAGTCTTCCTGGGCTTTTCCCCTAGCCCTCTTGCTCAGAATAGCCCCTGCCCCCATGAGAATGACCTCCCAAAGGGTGGACTGCCTACAGGGTCCACTCCCACCCAAAGCACCCTTGGTGTGAGTCCTCTGCCTTGTGGTGGACTCCTCCTCCCTTTCTCCCTGTTGAGCAAGCCTCTTCTTTGCCCTGCTGGGTGTTACCTTCACCACTTGTTGCTCTGGAGGCAGCAGATTTGGGTGGTGCCTCCAGAGGTGCCTATGGAGGAGGACAAGTGGTATGGACATGAGCCTTTCAACACCTGGGCCTGGCAGACCCAGCACTCTGCCACACGGGTAGCTCTGGAGGGTTAGGAAATTCTGCTAGAGTTCCCCCTTAAAATGGGCACCCAGCAGTGGAGCAGGTGGGAGACTTAGCCGCTGCATTCTGATGCCGGCTGGGGGGACTGGGCGGGGGGGTTGACTAGATCCTGGATCAGCTTGGGATGTGGGATGTGGAGGAGCTGGATGTTACATAAGAACATAAGAGACACCAATGTTGGATCAGGCCAAAGGCCCATGCAGTCCATAGAAGCCCTCCCACTGTTGACCCCCCCCCAAGCACCAAGAAGACAGAGCATCACTTGCCCCAGAGCCCCTAGCTATACCTTGTGGCTAATAGCCACTGATGGACCTCTGCTCCATATGCTTATCTAATTCCCTTTTGAAGCTGTCCATGCTTGTAGCACCCACCACTTCCTGTGGCAGTGAATTCCATGTGTTAATCACTCTTTGGGTGAAGAAGTACTTCCTTTTATCCGTTCTAACCTGACCGCTCTGCAGTTTCATGGAGTGCCCACGAGTTCTTGTATTGTGAGAAAGGGAGAAAAGTACCTCTTTCTTTACCTGCTCTTTCCCATGCATAATCTTATAAACCTCGATCATGTCACCCCTCAGTCGTCTTTTCTCCAAGCTAAAGAGCCCTAAGCGCTTTAACCTTTCCTCATAGGGAAAGTGTTCCAACCCTTTTATCATTCGAGTTGCCCTTTTCTGCACTTTTTCCAAAGCTATATCTTTTTTAAGGTGTGGTGACAAGAACTGCACACATTATTCCAGATGAGGTCGCACCATTGATTTATATACGGGCATTATGATATTGGCTGATCTGTTTTCAATACCCTTCCTAATAATCCCCAGCATAGCAGTGGCCTTTTTTATTGCAGTCACACACTGTCTCGACATTTTCAGTGAGTTATCTACTACAAGATTTCTCTCCTCCACATGCAGCTGCTGGTGCAATCTTGGGTCAGTTACAAGTTCTTTCAGAGCTGTTCTTTCAGGATCAGTTCTCGAAAGAGCTCTCTCCGCCCCACCTACCTCACTGGGTGTATATCGTAGAGGGGAAGGGAAAGGAGATTACAAGCGACTCTGAGACTCCTTCGAGTAATGAAGGTTGGGGTATAAATCCAATCTCTTTTCTTCTTCTTCTTCAATTATAGTTGTAATAAAGTAATCTAGAGGAAAATTAAAAGGTTTTTGTTCTGAAGGGTGAAAGAGCTTGGATAATGACCAATTCAGGAAAAAATAGTTAAATGTTAAAGTGTATAATAGGCTATTTGTAATGTGTTGATTGATCTGCAAGTAGCAATAATATCCATATGCCTTCTTTTCAGAGCCCCATATGGCAAGTCCGTAGATATGTGGTCTGTAGGCTGTATTCTTGGGGAACTTAGTGATGGACAACCATTGTTTCCTGGAGAAAGTGAAATTGACCAACTTTATACAATTCAGAAGGTGCTGGGACCACTACCTGCAGAGCAGATGAAGCTTTTCTACAGCAATCCCCGTTTCCATGGGCTGCGGGTAATTCTTAAATTGTTTCGTGCATGTTCAGATGATGAATTGCATGCGCAAAATGTGTTTGCCAAAATAATACCTCTCTTCATCAGTACTGTTCTGAAAATTGGATGAGAAATTACTGGAAAATAATAATGAAACAGTGATGCACAGGTAGTCTAATTAAATTCATGATAATAGGTGCTATGCTCTAAAATGTGGGGGAGTGATTTTCTCAGTATTTTCTCCCTTGAAACTTGTAGATTACACAGTTTGGTAGTTTAGTTTGTATAGTAGATTAAATATGTATATGTTTATATATGGCTGAAAGACAGATCAGGTAAATATTAATGTGTACCTATTATAAATTGATTACATTAGCTCGCAGAACTATTAACACTGCTAGTCAAACAAGATTTTCACATACTAGTCTGTGCTATTTGAGATGCTTCTTGGCATAGAACAGTTGCCATCACCAAAAGTTAACTTCGGCCCCGGTCACACGGGCAGGAAACTGCGGGGGGGAAGCGTGGCTGTTTGCCCTGGGGAAAACTAACATGCAGTAAAGCGATCATACCTCCTGTGGAGGTTCTGTGGAGGTACCGTGGAGCTTCTGTGGTTACGGAGAGGCGTCGATCACAACACATGCCTGCGCGCAACGAAGAAGCGTGTGGCGCGGCGAACTAGTTTTCTTTTTTTGTGTTCACTACGAATGCGCATGCTCCGTTGGGTGCATGTGCGCAACCACGGGGACTTGGGAAAAAAACAACCTTTTTCACAAGGGGACATGGGCGGGCGCCGGATGCCACCGGAAACGCGATCAGACGCCCGCCCTTGCCCCGCAGTTTCCGGAAACTAGTACCTCTGAGGTACTAGTTTTTTGCTGCGCGGTTTCGGGAGGAAGCTTCGGTTGTGCCACAGAAGCGCTACGCTCCCCAGATGTGCTGGTGAGATAGCGCCCGGAAACTCCGCCTGTCTTCCGTATCTCTTGCGTGGCGAATGTTGCGTGTGACCGCAGCCTTCCTTTAGGAGATTTGTATCCATTTCCATTCCAAGCACTGTATCATTAGGTAGAAATGTGGAACAAATAGATTGTAGTGTTAAGTAATTCTTTGTCTTTGTCTGGGGGCAATCACTCTTGTACAAATATATCATAAAGCCATGAAATCAGTTTGCCCCCAACATGTTCCCAGTGGCAAATGCTCCTTTTTCAACAAAGACACTTTAATTGAACAGTAAGAAGAGACTACTTGCTAGGCAAATATTTGTAAATATTCTTAGCCATGCTCTAATATTGATAGTGACCGAAGTAAAAGAGCAGCTCCTACAGTGCAGTCCTACACAATCCTTCTATGTCAGGAGTACAAATACACATACTATTTGTTGTGTACATTGTAAAATTGAATTGCAATTAAGCAAGATCCTATGTTGCAACAGTTGCCTAACATTTAAATGAAAGGCACAGTAGAGCAAGAGAACAAGCAGTTCACCATTTGAAGCTTAATGAAACCCTACTATTTTGGAAGTATGTTCACTCCCATCCAATGCCCCCTGTAAGCTGTGGAGTCTTGTGAGCAAAAATTCTACTTTGTGAGCTACTGGCATTAAAGTTATGAGCGAGCGATTTGGCTACTGCATACATTAGTTTGCTCTGGAGCCATCCTTCCTGAGCTAAGACAAAAATGTATGAGCCAGAGGCCAAAAAACAGTGAGCTAGCTCACACTAACTCAGCTTGGAACACTATGTCTTCTCTGAGCACTGCTCTTGCAGTTTCAGCAAGAGATGTTACATTCTAGTACTGGAAAGTTACAAATAAAAGAAAACCCGTCTGCTATTGAACTCCCATACCACATGTCCTATTTTTAGATTTGGCAGTCTGCAAGAGGATATTACATGTAGAAAACACCTTCACAAACAAAGAGCTCAAAAACTTGGGTTGGATCCGGCCCCTTTTCCACTGATGAAAAGAGGAAGAGAGGGTTCCCTTTGACCACCAAAAAGGTTCTTCAGGGGATCATGGGACCTCCATGGACAAAAGGCATGTGCAACAGGAGTAAGGAGGGCAATTAGGCAAGAATGAGTGAAAAAGCTGGCTGGATCCAACCTGTATATGTGAAATTCTGTGTTTCTAGTAAGATTATTTTTGCCATCAGCAATGATCTTCAGTTGAATTCTGTGCAATAATTTAAAATTTAATAGAATTAAAACTTGATTTATCTTATTTCCAATGGCAAGTAGATGAAGCTGTTCACCTGTGCAGAGCTTACATTTAGGCTATTGGCACATCCTTTTCCAACATCTCTATATTTTGATTGCCAAAATGTTTTATTTTTAAAACTTTGTGAAACACACTTTCCATGTTTCATGTGATTATCTGTATGTCATTTTGTTATTACTTCAAGAGAGCAGCTAATAGTTAAGCTACGTATCATAATGTAAGCTTTTCTGGATAATTTTAGGTCACCATACACTAACAATAACATTTTGGAGACTTTTACAAATACTGTAATTGTATGTGTGTGTGTGTGTGTTGCTTTTGTACAGTTCCCTGCAGTCAACCATCCGCAGTCTTTGGAAAGAAGATATTTAGGAATCTTAAGCGGTGTTATACTTGACCTTATGAAGGTAGGTTGTTGTTGTTGTTGTTTCATAAGCACAATTCTTACTAAAATTAAAATTAATATAGAGGGATATGTTATATATTTTTAAAAAATCAAATGTAGCAGCCAGTGAGATTTTATAAAGATTCAGAATGAACCCGATTCTTGATATCTGCAGCAGCCCATGGGCTCATAGCTATGCACAGTTTGGAAGCACCAGAAGTCACTGAGCACCTAGGATTTTGCACATTAAATTATTGTATAGGTAACATCTACATCTGTTGGATTTTTTTAGCAGCAGATTTTTAGAGCTCAGTTTTTTGACAGAATATTTAAAACTGTTTTTATATAAGTAGCTTTAAATTCTTTTCAGTTGAACATGATACTTGTTGGATATATTTAGATTTACATTTTAGTGGGATTAATAGTTTCGCTTCTATATTAGATAACAGCCTAATATTTTTTAAATTTAATTTCTTTTCAAAAGAATTTGTTGAAACTGGATCCAAGTGACAGATATTTAACAGAGCAATGTCTGAACCACCCATCATTTCAAACTCAGAGGCTGTTAGATCGTTCACCTTCACGATCAACTAAAAGAAAACCTTACCATGGAGAAAGTAACACCTTATCTAGCAGGTAAATTACTGTACCTTATTACATCAGTGTCATAGTATAGCATGTATTTCAGCTGGTTGAAAAGGCTGAGGGAAATGAGAAGTAGTTCCAAATGTACTTGCCATTGTTATACACAAGATTTAAATATACTTAAGTAGGCTTTCTGATAAAGCACCATGTAAATCTGGTTCAGTTTCCATTGTTTGTACAGTATTTTGCATTCAAATGCTAAGACCACATTGTATCTCTGGTAAGTGTAGTAAAATTGGCAAAGTGATTTTGGATGCACTGGAAGGTAGAGGGTGTTCTCTCAGCTGTGCTGAGGACAGTTGCTGTGCCATTTTCTTGAAGTGGCAGTAGATCCTGCTGGAGCAACTTATCCATTTGTATATCTAACAGAAATGTTCCTGCCTAAGTCTAATGGTTCATAGATCTTGATTATTAGATAAAAAGGGAGTAGGGGTAGCCTTCCATTATTTTCTTCAGCTCACATTTCCCACAGTTCATATTTTTGAAAGCAGAAGTGAACAAAAATTCCAATACGTAATTTTCTGTCTATTTTATGAATCTGAGCTTTGAGGTTTTGTTCTTATTGCAAGTTTACCAATTGCCTGGAACAGCCTTTGGGCCAATAGTCTCAGTCTGTGCTGCGTGTATGCTTTATCTGCAGTAGATTAAATGGCGAGAGGGTTACTGAAACCGTCCAAGTGTGAAAGCAGAAATTACTAATGTGTGCTTTCTTTCTGTTGTTATACTGTAGAAATCAAAGTAGCAAAAGTACTGCTGTGCAGTCTCACCACAGATCAAACAGCAAAGATATACAGAATGTGGGAGTTGGAGTCCAAAGAGAAGAGGCACTTCCAACAAATGAAAGCTTTCTAAATGGAAACCTTCCTGTAACTGCACATAGTCCTATGCTGTCAAAAAAGCCAAGCAATTCTTCTGGATCTGGCAGCAAAGATATAGCTAATAACAACATACCACATCTGCTCAGTCCAAAGGAAGGAAAGACAAAAACTGAATTTGATTTCAATTCGGAACCCAAAGCATCTGATGGTCCAGGTACAAAATACCTGAAGTCAAATTCCAGATCTCAGCATAACCGCCACTCATTTATGGAGAGTTCTCAGAGCAAAACTGGCACACTGCAACCAGGTGAAAGGCATAGCCGTCACAGCTACATTGATACCATTCCTCAGTCTTCAAAGAGTCCTTCATATCGGACAAAATCAAAAAGTCATGGGGCTCTGACAGATTCCAAATCTGTGGGTAATCTTTCAGAGGCCAGAATTCAAGTTGCAGATTCAAACAGCAGTAGGTATTTTCCATCCAGCTGTTTGGACTTGAACTCTCCTACTACACCAACGCCTCCTCGCCATGCAGACAATAGAACTTTGCTCAGTCCTTCTGGGAGAAACAACAGAAGTGATGGTACACTTGAATCGCGAAGACCATCTACAAGACATTCCAAAACAATGGAGGAGTTGAAATTGCCAGATCATATGGAGGGGAGCCATTCACATTCCTTATCTGCTCCCCATGAATCTTTTTCGTATGGTCTAGGTTACACAAGTCCTTTCTCTTCACAACAGCGCCCTCATAGACATTCTATGTATGTGAGCCGGGACAGAGTGAGGACAAAGGGCTCAGAGGGTGGCTTAAGCGTAGGGCAAGGGATGGCAGCCAGGACAAACAGCCTGCAACTGTTATCTCCACAGGCGCAGCATAAGTCACTTACGAGATCTGTTGGTTCTTCGCGTGAAGACTGTACAGAAGATCCTAATAGGGTTAGTTTGAATTGCTGGCTGTTGCAGAATCTTCTCCCACTTGCCCATTAAATATTTTTCCTCCTCTGTTGAATGAATGCATGATCAAATTATGAAATGTTTTACCTTGTGTAATAACACCTAAGAACATCAGTTTTTTCCCCCTAGAGAAGCCACATGGTTCAGTTTGAACTAGAGCATTTATTATATAAAATAGGCAATATCTAGTGTGTGGTCATGTCATATAGTGATGTTAGAAACTATAGACTTCTTAATGGTAAATGCTGTGGATCTTTCAGTTTGCTTTGATGGCATCATTTTTATTCAGATTTTTTTTTCAATAGTTTCGTTTTGGACTTGGGTTACAGAAAGACATGTTTTATATCTGAAAAATTAAAGGTGGTTGTTTTCAGTTGTTCTGGATGACTCTTGGTCAGGCTTGATTCAGATACAGGCAAGCACTTAACTAGCCCTGGGCATTTAATTAGCTTTCCTACATCAGAGATTAGGGCAGACAATTTACTGTAAATGAACCAGTGGTTTTAAGAGACATTAATAGCAGCGCTACTTCCAGGACTCAAGAAATATTTGTACAATTTGGCTTGGAATTTGAGAAGAAAAGCTTGAAGTATTCAATCTAATAGTTGGCACCATGATGGAAGAGGGATTGTGGTAGTTTGGAAAGGGTTCAAGAGAGAACTGTATGGGAGGAAGTGTAAAGACAAATCTTGTGAAGAAGCAGAAGGAGCTGGCTGTGTTTAGACTATTGGGGAAAAGAGACTGAGAGAAGAGAGGTGTCCTGACAGTCTTTCCAGCACTTAAAAATACATTGCATAAAGATAATAATTTGTTCCATCACTAAAGCTAGGAATAAACCATGAAGATGTAGGTTAAGATTAAAATTTAAGATGAATTATAAAAAGTGCTTCAGTAATTGCCTGGAATCTCCTTCCTTGAATGTGGTGTCAAACTTAGATGAAGCATGGAGTTTTAAGAATATGGTATCTTTTCTTGGGCTAGAAGGCTTACCTGTTTAAACTCAGATTTGGCATTTTTAAAAACCTGAATTAACTCTAGGTATGAAAACTGAATTATTCAGAATATTTTCCATTAGCTTCAGTCATGGGTTCGTCTTATTTTTAAAAGTTATGAGAAGTACCAGTGAAATTATCACGTATATTAATATAAAGCAGAACTGTTCCATTTTTGCTGTATTATTTATTGGTATTTATCTAAAAGAGGTATTTTGAGGTAGTTTTTTGGGGGGGTGATACCTGAAATATGGATGAAATCTGCATAATTGGTGTACAGTGTTTCAATAAATATTTACGTGTAGTCTGGGTCATAACATTGTATAATATGACACGTGGAGTTTAACAGTCTTTCCAGGAAGGAAAAATAGAAAGTTGTTGAGCCTCAGTGGGCAGTGGTACACGATTGTTGGGTTGAATACAGTTTGATATGTCTTGAGTTGTGCAGGTTGATTCCCAAGCTCTCACACTCCTTCATTCTTCTTCCTTCTTCCATGTGGTGGTCCAAGACTGAAGATGGAAATCTTCAAGTAACTCTAATTAGTATTGACGTCCGAATGCATTTCCATTTACTAACTGATATATGGCTTTTTCACAATAGCTGGTATTCTTAACCAAGATCTAATCCTGATCAAGAATCCTAATTACTGGGAAAGAAACAAACCTCAGTCAGTGAAGGCATCTGCTTTGGAGTATCACAGCTAGTTAAAGTTTGTTGAACACTTCTGTCTCCAGCCTCACTGTTCTGTGCAGGGAAAGGAGGCAAGAGTGAGTTTATGCGCTTGGCATGAGCCTTTGGCTTCTGCTAAAGTTTTGCTTACTGTATTTTATTTATGCACTTCTTCTGATCCTAGAGTAAACATTTTGGAAATTGTGCTCCTGTTTCAAACTGTGCATATACTAACTCAGTTTTGGTATGCTAAGGTTTTT